AGGAAGGATTTTCAAATAAAAAATTAATTATGTAATGATAATTACTACAATACCCTAAAATTCAATATAAGGTATAAACTAATTTTTTTATGTGAATATTTTAATTGATAATTAAATATTAGCTTTATTTTAAAAAATAAAAAATAAAAACAGTATCCAACAAGATTGAATATATTCACAATCAAATGAATTACTAAGCAAATCAAATTATCACAATTTTGTGTGTTGTCAATAATATCGAATAAATAATATGTTTTAAACCATAATTTATACCATTTTCACTCTCTACTTGAATCCAATTCTTCTGTCAGATTCGCCTATAAAAACAATAAACTTATTAATAATAAACACCCGTTTGAACTTTATTATTTAAAATGTATAATTTCAAATATAGAATATAAAAAATTATCACACAGTTAAGATAACGAGATTTATTACACAACTATACCATTTTCACTCTCAACTTGAATCCGATTCTTTTGTCTGATTCGCGTACAAAAACAATAAGTTTATTAATAATAAACACCCCCTTGAACTTTATTATTTAAAATGTATAATTTCAAATATAGAATATAAAAAATTATCACACAATTAATATAATGAGATTTATTATTTAATATATATATTGAAAAAAACAATCACAAACTAGAAACATAAAGAAACCTGAGAAAGAACAATCACATCCCCCTGTTTGTGAAAAAGATTGCATATAAAAAGTCAAAAACATTACCAACGGCCAGTGCTAGGCATAAATGTTGATAAGCTTATTCATTATATCTCAAATCTTAAAACAATAGGATAGGGTTACTCTATTGATTTGAATGTCATATTTATATACATTTAATTTAAATAAAGTGCATCAATGAGAAGATCATCAATGCAAAATGGTAAAACTTTACAATATTAATTACAAGATGTAATGTAGCTCTTTCATCATTAAGTATGTACCTGTTCAATGAAGTACTCTTGAACTGCGACATTCAGGTTGCCATTCCAACGATAACCCCATTCTGAAAACACTTTGTTAAGCTTGGGTGTCACTTGCTCTCCATAACCAAAGGTCTTCATTTTTCTACATCCACATATCTCTAGCCTCTCCAATGCTGGGTATTCAATAGTATATGATCTAAAGCTAAAACAAGTGAGGTTGTCTAGATATCTAAGTTCCAAGTAGTACAAACTAGGAAACACTATCCTCTCTATTGATGCTTCTTTTTCTCCTTTCTCATTTGTGACAATTTCTTGTATTGTTGAGCATCTCCATAATTGAAGGCTTTTGAGCTTCACCAAACATTTGACAATGGAAGGGGTGAAGAGGTTTTTTAATTTAGGACAACTAACTATCTGTATAGAAGTTAGGTTTCCCAAACTTGGGGAGGTTATGGTGTGGTCTAACTCCTCATCCAAAGTTTCTTTCTTCTCAAAGATCTCCTCTAAATTATTACAATACCTTATATCTATTTCTTCCAAACAAATAAGGCTTTGGAGTAGAGTTGGTGAAAATAGTTTTATCAACTTATAGCATGACCAAAGTTGTACTCTCTTCAAGCTACAAAGACTTATGGATTGATGGTCACCATTCCATATATGTGACAACTCTGGCAACCATCCCAATATTAGATACTCTAACGATGAGAGTAACTTGGCTTCTCCCTCTGTAATCTTAATATCTTTACAATCAGATATATATACCAATGATTCACAAGATGTGATATGAAGATACTTCAATTCACTGAACCCTTCTTCAACTAGGTTATGGCTAATACTCTCTAAATTAGCAATTTTCTCTAAAACTAGCCACTCGGTTCTTTTGAGCAAACCTCTAACCCAATCATGTATTTTTGAAATGTTGGTTTTTGAGACATTCATATTTCTTGCGTATCTACTCTCATCCAAATAATCATCACCGAAATCACTATAACCTATTTTTAATTTAAATTTGGACAGGTTATTTTGGAATACCAACAATTTTGGTGAGAGGTCAAGGTTTGGAATATTAATCTCTAAATGAGTAAATAGAGACAAAGCTTATAACTCAACAAGATTGGCATTGCTTTTCAAATTTTCACTTTCATATTCCCATTGCCAAAATCTATTAATGTACAACTCCTCTAACTTTTTAAAAGAGGGTATAACACCATGAGGTATTAGTGTTAACTCCCAACAATTATTCAAATCTAATAACCTGAGATTACTTAATTGGCTAAAAGAAACAGGGATCTCTTGAATAGAAGATCTGGAAAGGCTAAGAATCTCTAGTTTACTTAGACCTCCAATCATTGATAGGTCACCCAACTTGCAACCACTAACATACAATGTTTTAAGATTTGAAATAAATGAAAGTGAATCAGGCAACAACAAGAGCGTGAATCCACTCAAGTTTAAAACATTAAGATTTTTCATTCCTTGAAAGAAATTCTCAGGAAAAAAAATCTCAAAATTGCCTTGCAACATCAAAACATGCAACTTTGGGCATTCCAACTCATTAGGTAGCTCCATAGTATTATTTGACATCAATGAGATGCATGTAAAATCTTCACATTTATCTCTATTTGTCCACTCTCGTAGACCAATGCCAACTTTTACCAAGAATTGGTGGTTGTATTTAGGAGCTATGTTTAATGCGAAATCCCGCACTACATCATGCATTTTGTGGATGACCCTCCAGTGACATTTCTGAATTCGGTCACACCCAGAGAAAAAATGGGACCTGAAGAATTGAACAAAACACAACAAAATAAATAAGTACAAAATATTCAACCAAACTATATACTAGGCTACTGTTGCTAAAAGTTTCAGCCTAAAAGACAGAAGACAAATACATCAAAATACCAAAAGAATTAAGAAAAAAAAAAAAAAAAGCAAAGAAAACAATAATAGTACAGAAATAACTGGCCCTCTATATAGATTCCAGGCTTTTGAATCTAACTCAAAATCCTCTAACCCAACATCTAACTATTTCTTCAGAGAAGATGTGAATTTCTTTCTATGTCTGTGTGTCTTGGCTTGGATGGAGAAGAAAGGAAAGTTATTTACACAATATATATAGCTGTCACCTGGATGGACAAGGAGGCAAGGACCACATAAATGAGGGACACCCAACTGTTTTGTTTCCCTCCGAAAAAGTGAAATTTGATCAATGAAACTCCTTCCTGACTGAGGTGGTGGAAATGGTGGAGGGACTTGAGAAATGCATACGAGGTCAAACAAAAATTCATTGCAAATTAAATATATGAACAACAATGAAAGGGAGAGGGAGAATGACCCTGCAAGAATTCCAGAAGAATGATCTAGTATCCAACTGTTAATGAGGACGATGAATAGAATTACATACGACTCGCAACCTCGGAGGCAAGTCTGAATTACATATTCTATGCGGGAAAGAAGAATAAATATCTCCACATATCAGACAATTGTTAATAAGTACTGCAGCCTCACTTGGAATGTCTACACAAAAACACATGCACAACAGAAACAGAAACTTATACTGGTACACGGACCATTGTGTGCATAAATGCCCTTACCAAACTTGACGGCATCAAAGACAATGATACAACATTGAGCATCAGATAGACGGTTTTTGGAAAAACCTCAATTCAAGGAAGAAATATTCCTTCCTTCTCTTTTACGTATGACCCCCAAAACCTACTTCTACTCCTACTCCTTTACAAAAACAATCATGGTCAAGAGTCGTACATCAGATACAGGCTTTAAGGACACCACACAACATACCATCAAGGTGAAGCAAAAACAAAAAAAATCAACAATATTCTGCCACGCTCTACACTCAGTTGGTAAATATGCCAACTAAACTTAATTTGTTAATAGTTCATGTAGCTTGACAACCTTCATTAATTATTAACAAGCCAGTAATCCCAGCATAACTCAAAAATTCCACAAATATAAAGGTTTTATAAATCCTAATCCAGTATCCCTTCGGTCCACCTTACGCTATATGATATCACACTTCAAGAAAGAAACTAGCATATAGTAGAATTTACACTACTGCATTTGTGTTTTCAAGTTTTATTCTCTAGCGAATGTGTACTGGCAAGAACTCCAAAGAACGGATGTAACTAGAGCTACAAACAAATTGCAAGTGAAATGAAAAAGCAGACTTACATTTAGGAGATAACTCCCTATCTTTCGCAGCTTAAGAAGCTGCAAAACAACAACAGGAAGCAACGCAAGTCTGAATGCCAAGTCGAAGTAGCAATAATTACCCCTCTAAAAAGTCCTTATATACACAACTAATTAAAACAAAACATCTCAAGAGTGAATTTCATTCACCACGAAAAGGAAGAATAAAAGAATTTAAAAGAAGAAAATAAAATTTCAAAGAGAGAGCAATTTTATAGCGCTTTGTGACAATTCCACTTCATGAAACACATTTACACATAAAAGTAAGCTAGAGAGAGCAAGCTTTACCAAGGGAAGCCAGAGAGTTATGATAAGCATCGAGCACCGAAATCAGAGTTTTAACAGGAAGAATCGACTCTTCACCACTGCCAATCACTCCGTCACAAAAGTTAAAATCTCCCGGGATCGGCAGGAGTCAGTGAACGAGCGTCGTCTACTGAACCGGAGTGGAAGATACGAGAACCCACCGGCGAGTGCTTGAAGTAGGGTGACTCTGACGGTTCTGGTGGTGGTAGTGTCGCGTGGAAGAGGTGATAGAGCGGCGGTGGAGAGTAATTCTTGTTTAGACTCTAATTTCAATTCCTAAAATTTTAAAAATGAAAAAAATAAAATTCTTTTTTCAATTTAAGAGATGCTAATTTCAATTCCTAAAATTTTACAGGGTTCATTGTCTTAGGAAAATTTTTGAATGTGATTATGTACTTTAGGAAGGATTTTCAAAAAAAAATTAATTAGTAATGATAATACTAATACCCTAAAATTCAATATAAGGTTTAAACTAATTTTTTATGTGATATATATTTTAATGATAACAATTATTAACTTGGTTTTAAAAAATAAAAATGGACAATATGCCATTCTTATTCTCACAATTGACGTGAACATAAAATCTAGACAGTAAAAAATTTAGAATTTACTAATATAGCAGTAAGCAAACCTAAACAAAACTGTTAGCAACTCATTTTTGTCGGTAAGCCATGCATGCCTTCTTGTCTTTCAAGTGAAGATTTCCTAAAAGAAATCTGGAAAATATATCAAACAAGTAATAAGATGACCAGCAATAACTTCTCATAATATGTTAATATCAATTCACAATAACCACCCCCCCCCCAAACAAAAAAATAAAAATAAATAAATAACAGGGGACTCAGCTTGATAAGGATTTAGGGATGTTCTGCATCACAAAACTATACCCAGAAAGATGAAGGAACATAATAACTGACAACCTGGTTTGAAAACTTTAATCATTGATAGAGTCAAATACCTCAACATTAGAGGAGTGGAGAGCAGCTATCACTATTGGAAAGATGGGGCCTAAAAGACCATGAGGGAATTCAGTCAAGTTCTGGAACCACAAAGTCCCACCCTACAATAAATTCCATGGACAGAGCATCATACATTCTATGCTCCAATAGCAAAATAACATCACATTCAAAAAAAAAAATATGAGACATATGCAGGGGAACGAAAAGTAAAAAGAGTTCCTTCATTGATGAGAATATTAAAGATAAAACAGAGAACTTGGCACCAAATTAAGAATTGTAAATTGTTTTCATTCACTATAAAACTAATAAGATGAGAACCAACAAAAACTATAGAAATAAGATGTGTAATTGTCATATGTCATCATTATAAAATTTATGCTGCATGCTGCAAGAAGCATGGCCAGATTGTATGGTTCAGAAACATATCAAGTCATTTGTAATCCAAAAGAAAGTAATAACAAGATTGGTAACCCTTAACGATATTAATCTATGAATACATAAAGACGATATTACTGTAGTAAGCATTAATACATATATATTTATTGTTCTATACAAATATTTAAGCATGTTAGTGCCTTACACGATCAAACCNTAGTTCATTATACTCGGGATTATAAGCAGCAGCTAAATGCAGATGCTTTACAACTTCAGCCTTGCGACCTACATTACATAAAGCACTGAAAACCCCAGTAGTTAGTGCCCAAACAATAGACATAAATTGTAATGACAATATTGATCAATTCTGAGACGAGCGAATATCAGGTTATAAGTAAAAACACTTGAGAAATGATTGTGTAAATTCATACCTTGAAAGTAATACCAATCCATCATAATAATGGGCTTTGGAACTTTTTTCCTCTAGCTCTTCCAGATTTGCAATTCTTTCCAGGTGTACAATTCCTTCAGCCATTTTCCCCTGTAACATACAGAAGAAAATGGAAGCAAATGAAAAAAAAAAAAATGAATGCCCTTCTTCATCGAGTAATTATATTTTTAAGCCTGCTCACCGAGCTCAAAAAGTTTACAGTGGCCCATGGCTGGGTCCTAAAATTGAACTCAAATTGTGGCATAGTTTTGAGAATAATATGTTACGTTCATGCCCTTTTATTTCAGAGTAGTGGGTAGAATCCCAAAAGCATCAATGAGTTTTACCTGTCTTATATAGGCAACACCGGCCCACTGAGAAGCAACAATTAAAAGATCAATATTTTCAACTTTTGTGGGATGGCTGGAGATGAAGAGCTGATGTGATGTCAAAGAAACAACTTTTAGTTAATGACACAGCAGAAACGTTGATATGAGCATAAAATACTTTTAGTTAATAAAACGCTTTTATTTAAACTTTTGTAATTACCATAAAGCATGCTTCCCGCCTATATAAATCCTACTTTATATCCAAAACATCTGATTGTGAAAAAACATAAGATAATTAAATTAAACTAGACGGACCTTGGAGATAGCACGCTCCAAATATTCAATAGCCTCCGCTAGCAGTCCTTTCTGCAGTTGAGTCTGCCCCATAACTATCAAAGCATTTATGTAATCAGGATCCTCATCAAGCGCCAGTCCGTCATCAAACGTTAACTACTTAGGGCAACAGCTCTTATTCGATGTTTTAATAAAATAAAACTACAGAATGCGGAGGGAAGGAAAGGGGGCACAAGAAGAGAAAGTTACTGCAAAAAAAGAATTTGCTCTTTCTTTCGGTCCTTTTGACAAGTGTTTGACTGAAGCTGTCCAAAATTCAAACAACAAAGATTGAAGACAACATGTAACACAAACCTTACATTCAAATTGTAGGTGAGGTTCCGAGGTTAGTCACTTACAGCTACCAGCTCTTTAGGGGTTGGGTCCTTGAAACATATTTTGCGTTGCTTTGCAGGGAAATCCAAATTTTTTTCAGGACTATCAATTTCTTCAGATTTCACACTAAACCAACTAAAACATATCACACATAGGAACAAATTCTTTCCAAAAAAGAAAATTGCAATAACAACCTGAATCATACTAAATGTGCATTAGCAACCCAATAAGACGACCCAACAAATCAAGGCAAATAAATTAGTGATTATACCCAGCACAACGTCAGGGGAACTTCCCAGTCAAACCTAAATAAAACTGTTCTCAACTAAAATTTGCCAATAAGCCATGCGGGCCTTCTTGCTTTCCAAGCGAAGATTTCCTAAAAGAAATCAGGTAAATATATCAAACAAAAGATGGCACAAACTGTAATAAGATGACCAGTAACAACTTCTCATAATATGTTAATATTAATTCACAATCCCCATCCCCGCCCCCCCCCCCCCCCCCCCCCCCCCCCCCCCCCCCACCACCCCCCCCCCCCCCCCCCGCCGGAAACAAAAAAAAAAGGGGGTGACTCAGCTTGATAAGGATTGAGGGATGTTCTGCATCACCATTATAACCAGAAAGATGAAGGAACATAATAACTGACAATCTGGTTTAGAACTTTTAATCATTGATACAGTCAAATACCTCAACATTAGTGGAGCAGCTATCAGTCTATCACTATTGGAAAGACGGGGCCTACAAGACCATGAGGTTATTAAGTCAAACTCTGGAACCACAAAGTCCCACCATGTAATAAATTCCATGGACAGAGCATCATACATTCTATGCTCCTATGGCAAAATAACATCACATTTCAAAAAAAAATATGAGATATGCAGGGGAACGAAAAGCAAAATGAGTTCCTTCATTGATGAGAATATTAAAGATAGAACAGAGATCTTGCAACCAAATTAAGAATTATAAACTGTTTCATTCACTATAAAACTAATAATTTGAGAACCAACAAAAACTATAGAAATGAGATGGGTAATTATCATATGTCATCTTTGTAAAATTTACGCTGCATGTTGCAAGAAGCATGGCCAAATTGTCTGGTTCAGATACATATCAAGTTCTTTGTAATCCAAAAGAAAGTAATAACGGGATAGGTAACCCTCAACGATATTAATCAATGAATACATAAAGACTATATTACTATAGTAAGCATTAATACATATATTTATTGCTCTATACAAATATTCAAGCATGTTAGTGCCATACACAATCAGTGACATTATCTGAATACTGGTAAAACCTAACATAAAACATGGGACCTGAAGAATTGAACAAAACACAACAAAATAAATAAGTACAAAATTTATTCAACCAATCTATATACGAGGCTACTGTTGCTTAAAGTTTTCGCCTAAAGGACAAAAGACAAACAGATCAAAATACCAAAAGAATAAAAAGCAAAGAAAACAATAATAGTACAGAAATAACTGGCTAACATCCATATATATTTTTTCAGTTAGCATTGCAAGTCTGAATGCCAAAGTCGAAGTAGCAATAATTACCCACCTGAAAACGCTTTCTACACTAACTAATTAAAACAAAACATCTCAAGAGTGAATTTCATTTATCATGGAAAAGGAAGATATTAAAAAATTTAAAAGAATACATCTATATATTACAATAATAGTACAGAATTAACTGGCTAACATCTATATATTTTTTCCAATTAGGAGATGTGTATTTCTTTCTAGGTCTGTGTATCTAGGTTTGAGATGGGAGAAGAAAGGTAAAGTTATTTACAGAATATATGTAGCTATATCACCTGGATGGACAAGGAGGCTAGGAATCACAGAAATGAGGGACACCCGATTGTTTTTGTTTCCCTCCAAAAAAGTGAAATTTGATGAACGAAACTCCTTGCTGACTGAGGTGGTGGAAACGGTGGAGACACTAATTTTATCATGTACTCTATATATTGAAAGGCAACCAATCAGTTTCATGAAGCGGGCTATGTGCTCTACCGAGCTAGAGCTTCCTCCATCTCACTGGCTACCATTTTGATAAAATGTTTTCATCACTTCCAATTTAAGAAGTTTTAGCTCTCATGCACCTAATAAAATATAAAAATAATAATAATAAAGATTGATACATCTTGCTGGATGCAGAGCCGATTTGAAGACAAAGAAGAAATTGCTTATTCTTTGTATGGAATGAGGATTTAATAATGGATATGAAAGTATTTATGCTATACCTAGAGGCAATATTGTACATTCATAAAAAGTCTTTAAACCAATTAGATGAGCACTCTCTGCAGAAGATATGCAGCATGTGTGAGATACTCACTCTTTCCACTAACTTCAATGTGAACAGAAATTTTAAGCAACGGCTATTGTGTATTACCATATATGTTAAAAGAAAGAAGTTTGTGCATAAATTTCTTTTTCTGAGCTCAGGTTGGTCAAAAGACCCTCCAAAAGTAAAAACCAAGTTCACCTTACCAAATAGGATAATTAGTGAAAGCATGCATCTCATAGTTGTTTTGTTTTAAATCAAAAAGCAATTCTTCAACACCTTCTATGTAATAATATCCTCTTCTCATACAATTTTTAAGTCCTGCAGAGATTTTTAGTTAAAATTAGTATTTTACAAATAAGGAAGGATAGATCCATAGAAGAAAGAGAACAGAGAGCATATCAACATATCCAAGGAATAGTCATTCAGAAATAAAGATAAATCAGAATATCTGCAATTGATTCTCAAAATATTACACTAAAATACTGCGTTTCACTTTGTAATTTGATTAATTGGTGGAAAGGATAAAAAGGACAGGCTAAAGTGATTCATGACATAAGAAAATTACGAACAAAATGATAAGATACAGACCAGCAACCAGTACAAAAATTGCTATTGTATAAGAGTTAGATTTTAGTTGGATTAAAAGTTAATTAACAATATATTATCAATTATTCATATTTGCTTGGCTCACGTATGTAACCGAAACTGGTTTTGAAAAACAATCTAAACAAACAATGCAGTTAATCACATGTAAGAAAAGAAAATAACAAATATAAGTTGCATTGTTACTGAACGAAAACTCGGTTAAAAAAAAAAAAAAAAAATACGTTTTATATGATTTCTTGTACTGAAGACCAAAACAATTGTCAGGCAAAACCCAGAACATGCTTTCCACTCTAACATGGCAGGCACTAGATTGTCGAAGCTCATAAAAAGAGAAATTTACCAACCTTCCAAATTGAAAGGCCTTTCGTCTTTAAAGAATTTTCTAGCTAACTCCACCTGAAATAAGACAAGACACATTAGTATAGGACATTTGATGGGACCAAAAGCAAAAAAACAGCACATTAAGATGATCAATTGATGTAAATTTAAGAAAGCAATACAGTGAATTTTATAGCAGAAGGGAGTTATTAAGGCTAAAATATATCAAATTTACAAGATGAAGAGTATGAGAGAAATTGCCCAAAAAACAGGGGCATAACTTTGCAAGATCCTCAACTTTTGGGAGGAAAGATCACTCCACATTTCCAACAAGTTATACAATCCGGAAATAGAGATTATTGATCAATAATTTTAAATTCCAAAATCCAACTTGTGTTTCAATGCAACTCCACACTTCAAAATATAAAAAGGACACATAAACACAAAAAGAGAACAATAATATAACCATTATGCAATCAAAATAAATAGAAGGATATAAAATCCTTTTATGACTTCTCAAATTTCAAACACGAATTGACCTAATCACTTAATAAAATTGATCACTCAACATTCTATACTGTACAAATTTAATCATTCAATACCACAAATGATGCCTCAAATCAATTTAACTGAAAAATGAGTTCCTTCAACTGAATGAAAGATAATATTTGGACAATAGTGTCGCACATACCTCATCAATCAGCCCCTTTTTGAATTCAATCCATGCAGTTGGGTGCTTGCATTCTATTAGTTCCTTCATAGGCATTCTGAGCATAAATTCTCATTTTGATTATTGCAACCTTCATATAAGGAAATAACTGGAAAGATCAAGAGAAAGGCATGCTGAGTATCCAAATACTGTTTCTGAAAACTCCCAACCAAATGTATTTTTGTAAGATTCATGTATCATTTGTTTCCAAAAAGGAAAAAATCTGTCCCTTGTAAAAAGAAAAAATTCTAATATTTATACAAGCTCTCTAATCATAACACAAATAGGCAAAGCAATGGCCAATAAGGCATCAACAACAGTTATCTTCATCACTATGTTAGCATGTGTCCTTAACAAGACACTTGGTGAATAAGCACAACATCACACACAAACCAAGATGCATCAATTCATTACATGCGGTCGTCTATTACCTTTATAGACCCTAACTCAAGAGCCTACATCATAGAAGATGATTAACAATATTTTTGTGAATTTCTATGGATTGGAAGCATTTACTTCTAGGCGCTAACTATGCTCAATAGTCATTTTGATCATCTTAAAGATAGAGACGTGCAGAAAGACGCCACCATTTCATCAAGAACCTTTCTGAATTTGCAAAAATCATCATAAACCTCCGTTAAATTTCCCAAAAACATTTAATCTCTAAGTTCTGTAAGATTTATCATAACTGAAACCACAAACACAAACACTCTAGCACTCCCGAAGCTTTCCTTTCTTATGTTATAATACCAGCAAGAATTAAATTACGCGATTCTCAATTATATAATCAGAATTGGTATGGAAACCAATATATTTCAAATCATCACTTTAAAATCAACCGTTAACCAAAATAATATTCATCCTCATTCAATATGTTAACTTCTTCAAGACAATACCATACCAACATTATAGAAATAACCATAATATTCAAAGAAACATTTGTTTTCTCCAAGTTTTAAAAAAAATAATCAGAAACTACCATTAAGAACAAAGTCTCTACCTATTCTCTAAAGTCTAAACGAAACAATCTACTCTTCAAGAAGCTTTCCCTTACTTAGATTATAATCACATCAACATTGAAAAATCCAAAATTCTATAATGAGAAATACCATGAAAACTGAAAATATTTCGTCCTCATGATACTGTATCAGCATTATTGAAATAACAACCAACAAAACAACCCCACTATCTCTCTTTACCCTTTATTTGATCAGAATTCTTCACAAATAATCTAATTCTGTTCACACTAATTCATTTTCATTGCTTACATAAAACTTTATTTTTTTTCTTCGAAAAGGCTTTGACTTTGGCGTCCCAATTTCTGACAAAAAACATAAACAAATAGAGCAAAAGAGCGATTACCCAAAGAAGGAAGGGACATCCTGGTAAAAAGGGTCACGAACGATTGTGTCCATGATGTCAAAGAGCAGTATGGGAAGCTTTCTCTGTTGAGTTTGTCCACTCAAGGAGGCCATGAGGGGCCTTTTTGTAATGTTTTTAAAGCTCGGATTTAAAGAAATTCTTGTGTGTTTTCTAGAGTAAGCTTTTAGAGGGATTGTTGTCGAACTCAGTGTGGTGGGTACTCTCATAGACACTGCTGCCATTCAGATCCTAGTTCCGAACCGTGAAGTGGGTTGGGTTTGTTTTGTTTGGTACCCGGGAAAATGAAGTGTAATATCATTTTAGTCACTGTTATTTTTGTTTAGTTTTGGTTCAATTTTCGACCTCCCCTTACTTTTAGTAGAATTTTAAAATGTCCCCCTAGTCTGGAAACTATCCATCACGTTCCTTGTATTATGTCGATGAATGCTAACAACATTTTCTTTTTTACTCTTGCACTTCCTTCTTGATAGTGTATAAAGACCAAAACAAAAAAACAAAAAAGGTTTGCAAGCCTATACTTCCCCATAAACAAAATAGAGTGGCTAGTTCGGTTTTTTATACAAAATCAAAATCAAAGTCAATGAATGAGAAAGTAAGTATTGCTAACATTTCTCGTATAAAGTAACCTTGACAATATTCGGGACCATGATTAAGGACTTTAACCTCTCATCTCAACCATTACACAAACCCATATTTGTGAGGTGGAGTCAAGTAAATATTTTTAGGGTATATAGGTCCTTAGAGGGAAAATTAAAAAAAAAAAATTAAATAAGTAAAATGATATAATTAATTGAATTTTATTTATTATGTTTAAAATTTCTTGTTGACAGTTTTTTTTTTTTTTTTTTTTGGGCCGGGCGGGGGGGTGGGGGGGTGGGGGGTTTCACTTGCACTAACTCTCAATTTTAGGTGTATCATTTCTCATCAATCATAAAATTTTTTGGGGATCCCTCGTCCACTAGGGTTGGATTTTTTCAAGCAATCGATCAAACGATACTTTAGCAAAATCATAGAAAGGACAATAATAATTAAGTAAAATGTTAGAGAAGATCATCAAATTTAAGCAAAAGCTTAGATGAAATCAACAACATTGAAGGGAGTTTACAACAAAACATAATGCCCCGGTAATTATTCTTATAAAAATAGTTACTATCTCTTATTCGAGGTAAAAAAAAAAATTCTCATAATTTTAATCTATCTAAAATTGGGAGTGCCCCAGTGACATCTACTATGCAAAGTACTAGTTAAAACTTATTTCACTTTATAATACAACTGAATGACCAAAAAAAAAAAAAAAATGGAAGGATTAAATTGATATTCTCTTTTGGAATATTCTCTAAACCCCTTTCACATGTAAACCCCGAGTATTCAAGAATGACTATAAACCCCCGAGCAAATGAGTTTACATTGTCTTGTATGCTTTACAAATAAATCAATAAATAAGTTGACGTATTGTATCAATCCAAACCCAATCTATTTACTTATTCATGTTAAAGGTTTCAACCTATTTAATATTCGTGTTATAAATGTTTCAACCCATTACGACACGTTTAATAACTTGACCTGTTTCAAACACGTTTAATAATTTGTCCTATTTAATAATTGACAAATTTAACCTGTTTACAACATATTTAACAATTGACAATTTTAACATGTTTGTGACACTTTTAAAGTATTATTTGATATAAATGCATGGTTAATTAGCTATTTCTGTTATTTATTTTTATTATTAAATTAAGGTTTTAAAAACTAGTTCTGTTTGATTGGTTGAACTGGTTCGACTGGGACTTGGTTTGTGAGTTAGGTCAGAAGGACCAAAAAATCGAGGGGTCATTTCACCGTGAATAACTTATGGTTAGACCGAGAGTACTATAATACAGTGTTTTAAAACCCAACCCGGGGTAAAACTCGGCAAAGTTTCCGGGTCCCGGGTGGACCGGTTAACAAAATTTTTTAAAATTTATAAATACACCCCTAAAAATTACGTGTAAGTCCCTATAGGATTGAACTTTATCAAACATACCTTAAATGCAAATCGACCGGCAACTAATTGATGGCGACAACACCCCAGATGCAACCTCAATCGTCCCTTAAGCTCATTTCCATTAAAATCTACTCAAGATCTGGCCGAAATAGGTTTGATTTCGGCCAGATCTCACCGATGTCGGCGTTGGCATTCCAGGCCAGATCTCATTGACGTCGGCGTCGAAAACCCTCCCCATCACCTAGGAATTACTCCCCTCTTCTTCCCGACCAAAACCCACCTCACCCTACCCTTGTTAGCCTCGCCAATCACCGACAAAATCCCATTGTTGCCAGTGCCAGATTTGTTCGTTTTTCGATCGATTTACTCACTGGAAATCAACGCCGACACCACCATTGCATTCACCGGCACTTACCCTTCAAAAGCCCCAAGTTTTCGGTCGTTGATTGTTCGCCGATTATCCTCCCAAATCTTAGGGTTTTGGGGTGAATCGAAAAAATTAAACCTGGCTTGTTGAAGCTGCCAAGTCCCGGTTCAATCGACCGGGCCGGGCTGGGTTTTAAAACATTGGTTTGATCCGTTTTTCCCAAAAAACAGGAAGCTTGGGGCTTTTGAAGAGTAAGTGACGGTGAATGCAATGGTGGTGTCGGCGTTGATTTCTGGTGAGTAAATCGACCGGAAAATGAACAAATATGGTAGCAGCAACAATGAGATTTTGCCGGCGATTGGCGAGGCTAACGGGGGTGGGGTGAGGTAGGTTTTGGTCGGGAGGAAGAGGGGAGTAATTCCTGGGTGATGGGGAGGGTTTTCTACGCCGGCGTCGATGAGATCTGGCCTGGAATGCCGACGCCGGTGTCGGTGAGATCTAGTCGAAATTGAACCTATTTCGGCCAGATCTTGAGTAGATTTTAATGGAAATGGGCTTAAGGGACGATTGAGGTTGCATCTGGGGTGTTGCTGCTGTCAATCAGTGGCCGGTCGATTTGCATTTAAGGTGTGTTTGATAAAGTTCAATCCTATAGGGACTTACATGTAATTTTTAGGGGTGTATTTGCTGAATTTTAAAAGTTTTTGTTAACCGGTCCACCTGGGACTTGGAAACTGTGCCGGGTTTTTCCCCAAGTTGGGTTTTAAAACAGTGGATCAAACATAAATCTCACTGTTTATATCTATAAACCCAATTTTCCACCCGTTTTCCCCCCCCCCCCCAAAATCTTCATACCATCAAGCCTTAACCCATTTTGTCACTCTCCCATTTGCGATTTCCTCTCTTCACCGTCGATCTCTTCCTTTCATCTCTCTTTAACTTCTTCATTTCATCTCTCATATCCAATTTTCCACTTCAACAACAGCCCACAGCCTTGTTTCATCATCTTCATCAACTTGCTTTTATCTTCGGTAGCAGTTCATCTTTCTTATTCTATTATTGACTTTCAATTCCTCTCCAAGTCTCGTCTCTTCCTGGTAAACCTTCTTTTATTCCATTTCAATCCTTTCTCTACATGCTTTTTCTTCTCTATTGGGTTGTTTTTGTTTTGTCAGTGATAGTCTATTTTGATTGAAGCTTGGTTGTTGATTGAGTTTATTGCTAAAACTTTGATCTACTACTGTTTTTGTTTTTTTTATCACCATGGATTCTAAAATCATCGGATCCAATTTGTGTTACTACAAGTTTAGTAATTTAACTTGAAGTTTACTACAATTAATTGCTATTTAACTTAATAAATAGAAACATCAAGGCCTTATTAAACAAATTTTGAAGTTTAATCGCAATGACACTAAAACTAACGTAGTAGTTACACAAACTTAAAACTACCTCATTATATAAACTGTGTGAATTACATGATGATCATCTGTCACATGGTGTGTCAAGTTCAATTGAGGATGAATTGAAGATTATTAGGTGAAGAAAATCATTTTTTGCTAAAATGTTTATTAATGATTATATGTTTTCTTCGTGAATTTTGTTATTTTGATTTGTAATTAGTTGTAATATGGATTAATGCTTTGTTAAAGAATTTTTTTCAAGAATTTGTAATCTGGAATTCTGGATTCTGAATTCTGAATTTTTTTTTGCTAACATTAACATAATGACATCACCGATTGAACCAGTTCAGTTTGTCAACTCGAGACCTGGCAGTTTGTCAGGTTTCACCTCGGATTGGTTTTTAAAACATTGATTAAAATTATGATAATTAAGTATTAATATATCATAAACGGGTTCGAAGGGTGATAACCCTCAGCCCAAACCCAACCCTTTAACAAAGGTTTTGATCGTGTCAATCAACCTGCCTAAACTGTGTCATGATCCATTTTGCCACCATTAATCTCCTCTTCTGCTGCCGCTAAGATCACTTGTAAAATCATCGTTGGCGTTTTCACATTGTTGCAGTAGTCCGTTAATACTCGGGGTTAAAAGCAGTAGCTAAACGCAGATGCTTTACAGCTTCAGCCTTGCAACCTACATTATATAAAGCACTGAAAAACCCAGTAGTTAGTGCCCAAACAATAGACAAAAATTGTAATGGCGATATTGATCAATTGTGAGATGAGCGATTATCAGGTTATAACTAAAAACACTTAGAGAAATGATTGTGTAAATTCATACCTTGAAAGTAATACCAATCCATCATAATAATGGACTTTGGAACTTTCTTCCTCTAGCTCTTCCAAAATTGCAATTCTTTCCAGGTGTACAATTCCTTCAGCCATTTGCCTCTGTAACATACAGAAGAAAATGGAAACAAATGAAACACAAAAAAAAAAAAAAAAAAAGAATGCCCCTTTTCATCGAGTATAAATATTTTTAAGCCTGCCGACCAGGCTCGAAAAGTTACAGTGGCCCATGGCTGGGTCCTAGAATTGATCTCAAATTGTAGCATAGTTTTGAGAATAATATGTTATGCTCATGGCCTTTTATTTCAAAGTAGTGAGCAGAATCCCAAAAGCATCACTGAGTTTTACCTGTTTTATATAGGCAACACCAGCCCACTGAGAAGCAACAATTAGAAGATCAATATTCTCAAGTTCTGTGGGATGGCCGGAGATGAAGAGCTGATGGGATGTCAAAGAAACACCTTTTAGTTAATGGCAACCAGGAATGTTGATATGAGCAAGAAAATAACTTTCAAAATTAGGAAGAATCAAATGCTAGGATAAAATGAATGGGGGTGACTAAAGCACAATGTATAAGGGTTTTATATGCTCTTTCCAATATAATATAAAACTTTTATTTAAAATTCTCTAGTGACCATAAATCATAAATAAAGCATGCATCCCGCCATTATAAATCCTACTTTATATACTAAACATCTGATTGTGAAAAAAACATAAGATAATTAAATTAAACTTGAGAGAACTTGGAGATAGCACGCTCCAAATATTCAATAGCTTCTGCTAGCAGTCCTTTCTGCAGTTGAGTTTGACCCATAACTATCAAAGCAATTATGTAATCAGGATCCTTATCAAGTGCCAGTTTGTGATGAAATGTCAACCACTTAGTGCAATAACTAAGGAAATTATTCGATATTTTAATATAAATAAAACCACAGAATGAAGACGGGAAGGAAAAGAGACATAAGAAGTGAATATTACTGCAAAAAAGAAATTGCTCCTTCTTTCTGTCCTTTTGTCAAGTGTTTTGACTGAAAGCTGTCCAAAATCCAAACTACAAAGATGTAAGACAACATGTAACACAACCCTTACATTCAAATTGTGGGTGATGTTTCGAGGTTAGTCACTTACAGCTACCAGTCCTTTAGGGGTTAGGTCCTTGACAGATATTTTGCGTTGCTTTGCGGGGGAATCCAAATGTTTTCCAGGACTATCAATTTCTTCAGATTTTTCCAATGCTGATGGAGCATCCTTGTCCGGTAACCCCAGCTTTGCACGAACAGCATGATGTTTGAGGGATAATTGCTGCAAAGTTGATTATGATTTCACACACTAAACCAATTAAAACATTTCAAACATATGAAAAAGAAATTCTTTCCAAGAAATAAAATGGCAATAACTACCTGAATCATACCAAATGTGCTATTAGTAACCCAATAAACCAGACTCCCTGCAAATCAAAGCAAACAAATTATTGATTCTACTGCCGCACGGGGTCAGGGGAACTTCCCTGACAAATAATAGCCTTTCTGAGACCAGCAATTAGAAAAAAGAAAATAAAATGAACTAGATAGCAGTGTTCTCAAAATTCAATAGGCCATTGACACTATCGGTATTTATGTAACGACTTTTGCCCATTCAGCCGGGGGAGTAACGTCTAGGAACCCCACTTATTTTTAATGGTCTCGAAAATCAATTACGCAATTGCGTAACCTATCCAACAAGATCTAACAAACTCTTAATAAAGCAATCAGCAATCATCAACACTCTTGAGAGTCTATTATGATTGTTATAGTTTAAAAGTAATCAATTACTTCTAATACTATAAATTAAAAGGTGTTATCAAAATATTTTGAAAAGTGATTATGTCTTTTAGGAAGGATTTTCGAATAAAAAATTAATTACATAAATAATAATTACTAAAATGCCTAAAAATCAATCTAAGGTATAGACTAATTTTTATGGCATAATTTTTTAATTAGTTATATTAACTATTAGATTAATTTAAATAAAAAATAAAAACTCTCATCCAACAGATTGAATTTTTCCCTATCTTCCATACAAAACACCACTTTCACTACTCATTAGGCTAACACCGTTTGACTATCACAGAGGTACCTTGAAGTTAGCGGATGAGCTACCCATAAGACGAGGAACAATCCCCAAACTAGCAACCACTATTGATCCATCAATTTTATTTTCTTTTTCTTTTTTAATCTGTGTTAGTGATGAATATTTCACAATCATGAATAATCAAGAAAATCAATTATCACAATTTCTTGTGTTGTCAATAATATGAATAAATAATATGATAAAACAAGATTCATACCATCTTTGATCCGCTTGCCTGATTTGCCTATAAAAACAATAAGCTTATTATAATAGACACCACTTGAACTTATTATTTAAAATGTGAATATGAAAGTTATCACACAATTAATATATATATAGAAGAAGAAATGAAAACAATATTCACATAATAAATAACCTTATTATAATTTATTAAGATACAAAATTATTTATTGGTTTTGTGTATTGAATTGTGTATGAGGCAATTTTTGTTTAATTGGTTATGTAAGAGAAAGAAGCAACTAGCACCTATAACTATTGTTTTTAAAAACATCACAAACTACAAACAAAAAGAAAAATGTTGAGAAAGAACATACAAACTACAAAGAGAAGATTTAAAAAAATAAATGGTACTTTAGGAAGGATTTTCAAATAAAATTATTATGTATATGACAGTTACTAAAATACCCTAAAATTCAATATAAGGTATAAACTAATTTTTTTATATGATATTTTAATGATAACTAAAATTAACTTGGTTAAAATATAAAAAATGAGAACAGTATCCAAGAAGATTGAATAATACCACTCATAGGAACAATAAGCAAATTTCTTGTGTTATCAATAATACTGAATAAAATATGATAAATCACGATTCATACCTTTTTCACTCTCTACTTTGAATTAATTCTTCTGTCTCATTCACCTACAAAAGCAATTAGTTTATTATTAAATAACATTTGAACTTTATTATTTAAAATGTATAATCAAATATAGAATATAAAATTGTCACACATTAATATATAAGATTTATTATTTAAATTATATTGAAAAAAAGAAAACTATTCACTAATAATTGAACTTATTTAATTTTATAAGAAAAGAAACAAAATTATTTATTAGGATTAAGAGATATAAAAAAATATGAAAACACTTATTTGAAAAATTAATTATAAAACAGTCAATTTAGTGTGGACTTGTATGAGGCAAATGTTAGCTTAATTGGTTGTGTAAACTAGCAGCTAAAGTATTGTGTTTAAAAACAATCACAAACTACAAACATAAAGAAAGCTGAGAAAGAACAATCACATCCCCTGTTTGTGAAAAAGATTGCGTTATAAAAGTCAAAAACATAACCAATCGGCCAGTGTTAGCTTTTAATAGCTAGGCATGAATGTTGATAAGCTTATTCATTGTATCTCAAATCTTAAACAATGGATAGGGTTACTCTATTGAATTAATGTCATATTTATATACATTATTTCAAATAAAGTGCTGATGAAGATCATCAATGCAAATAGTAAAACTTTACAATATTAATTACACATGTAATGTAGCTCTTCATCATTAACTACATACCTGTTCATTGAAGTATCTTGCACTGTGGCATTCAAGTTGCCATTCCAACGTTCTTCATACCCCTCGACAAACACTTTGTTAGCTTGGGTGTCACTTGCTCTCCACAACCAAAGGTCTTCATTTTTCCACATCCCCATATCTCTATCCTCTCCAATGTTGGATATTCAATAGTATATGATCCGAGCTAAAACAGTGAAGTTGTCCAAATAATAAGGTCCAGTAGTACAAACTAGGAAACACTATCCTCTCTATTGATGCTTCTTTTTCTCCTTTCTCATTTGTGACTATTTCTTCTATTGTTGAGCATCCCCATATTGAAGACTTTGAGCTTCACACGGCATTTGACAATGGAAGGGGTGAAGAGGTTTTTTAATTTATCACAATCATTTATTGTATATAGTTCGTTTTCCCAAACTTGGGATTTATGGTGTGGTCTAACTCCTCATCCAAAGTTTCTTCTTTCTTCTAAGATCTCCTCTAAATTATTGCAATACCTATATCTATTTCTTCCAAACAATAGGCTTTGGAGTAGAGTTGCTGAAATAGTTTTATCAACTTTTGCATAACCAAAGTTTTACTCTCTTCAAGCTACAAAGACTTATGGATTGATGGTCACATTCCAATATGTGACAACTCGGCAATTCTTCCAATTCTAGAAGCTCTAACGATGATAGTAACTTGGTTTCTCCCTCTGCAATCTTAATATCTTTACAATCAAATATACCGCCAATGATTCACAAGATGCGATTAAAAGACTTTCAATTCATTGAACCCTTCTTCAACTAGGTTATGACTAATACTCTTTAAATTAACATATCTCTAAAAGTAGACGCTCGTTCTTTTGAGCAAACCTTTAACCCAGTCTATATTTTTGAAATGTTGGTTTGTAGACAAGCATATTTCTTGAGTATCTACTCTCATCCATAGAAGCATCAAATATCACTAACCTATTCTTAATTTAAAGTTGGATAGGTTATTTTGGAATACCAACAATTTTGGTGAAGGTTAGGTTTGGAATATTATCTCTAAATGATTAATTGAGACAAAGCTTGTAACTCAACAAGATTGACATTGCTTTTCAAATTTTCACTTTCATATTCCCATTGCCAAATCTATTAATGTACAACTCTTCTAACTTTTTAAGAGAGGATATACACCACGAGGTATTAGTGTTAACTCCCAACATTATTCAAATCTAATAACCTGAGATTACTTAATTGGCTAAAGGAATCAGGGATCTCTTGAATAGAGATCTGGAAAGGCTAAGAATCTCTAGTTTACTTAGACCTCCAATCATTGATAGGTCACCAACTTGCAACCACTAACATATAATGTTTTAGATTTGAAGAAATGAAAGTGAATCAGGCAACGACAGCGTGAATCCACTCAAGTTTAAAACATTAGATTTTTCATTCCTTGAAAGAAGTTCTCAGGAAAAAAAAATCTCAAAATTGCCTTCAACATCAAAACTTGCAACTTTGGGCATCCAACTCATTAGGTAGCTCCATAGTATTATTTGACATCATGAGATGCATGTGAAATCTTCCATGTATCTCTATTTGTCCACTCTCGTAGACCAATGCCAGCTTTTACCAAGAATTGGTGGTTGTATTTAGGAGCTATGTTTATGTGAAATCCCGCACTCACTCAGCATTTTAACATACTCTTCACCATCATCTTAAGAGAAAGGAAGAGTGATGTACTTACAATAGCATGAACTCTATCTCTGACATCTTCTATTGTCTCATCAACATCTTTAAACCACCCTGACCAATTGCGTATCTCACTAAAACTTCAATAGGAATTTTGTAATCCTCTGAATAAGCTACAAGTAAGAAAGCAATTTTGACTCCACTTTTCGTAGATGATTCAAGCTCAGTTCCAAGACGAAAATAAGATCTCCTCCACTCCTTGGATGTCAGATGGGTTGGACTTTTGAAGTTGTCGTGCCGCGTTGCTCCACCCATGCTTGTTCTCGCCCTTTAAAGCTCCTGCTATTGTTACAATTGCAAGTGGCAAGCCACCACATTTGCAGCTATCACTCTTGCAATAGAGTTTATGTCAGAAGTTTCGACTTGAGTGCGACAATCTTGCTGAAAATGCCCAAGATTCTTGTTTTGATAAAGTTTCAACTGTATATATCTCCTGACACTCCATTTGATTACATACAGTTTTGCTTCGAGAGGTGATTAAAATTTTACAACCTCTTGGTCACTCCCAAAAGGAATACCAATCTCATCCAATTTGATTCTTTCCCAAACGTCATCTAAAATAATGAGGATCGCTCCGCTTTCTTGATTGTCTCCCATAGAAACTTGCTCTTGCTTTTTCAGAATTAGCCGGCAGAAGTTCGTTGCACCTAACATGTGCAATATCCCTTGAATCTCATAATACTAGGGTTGGAGAGACAACCGCCATCACTACACACCATACATCTTAGCTCTTTTACATGTTGGCTGATTTCTTTAACTAGTGTGGTTTTACCCACACCCCCCTTTCCACATATTCCAATTATGCTAACTATATCATCAATTAACGCCTTCATAACTTTCCCTTGATCGAATTTCTAGATTCGAAAGGGCCAGAATAAAATACTTTAGATGACGATATAATTCCAGATGGAGGAGCAGGACAAGACACGCCTCTCAAAGTTTCCCACTTCTTGGAGGTAATCAGAAATCACCAGAGTATGCTTCTTTGCCTCCTTACTGAATTGATAACGTTGTTTGATATAATGCACCACCCTTTGAGGCACCTCTTGTTGGCTTTGTCTTCCCTTCAAAAAACTTTTGAGCTCT